AAAGAATATATTCGATACTAAATTTTATTAAAACAAAATGTTGAAATCAGCTTCATATAGAAACAGTGTCATCGTTAATTAAGAAAGAGATGTTCTTAAATATCATAACTTCACGACACTCACATATTGACTAGATTTGACTATTTATTTTATTATATTTTAATTTGAATTATTTGTTTATAAAAATATGGTTTATTCCTTAACAAACACTAAATGAAAATAAGTTTAATCTTTAAACAACATTCAAAAAAATCGGCAAACTTTCTTAAAAATTTCGAACTTTCTATTTCAATTTTATCTCTTAATATTTTGCAGTTTTTTAGCTCATTCAATTTTAGTCTAATAAAGTGCAAATTTAAATTAGCTGTGATTTACAGTTGATGTATGGCATATTTTTGACGAAGTCGGTAATTTTCTTCCATATTACCTAAGTATGTTCGACGATTTTTTTAATGAAGAAAATGAGCAACGCCTTCATCAAAAAAAAAAAGTATACTAAAAATCAACAATAAGTCACAGCTATGTATTTTGCATGCATGTATATGAGCAAATTAAAAAGTCGATACAATTTACAGTCGAAAAGTACAGTTTTTGTATAGATTATAGATTATTTCCCAACACTGTGGGAAACTAAGCAACATGGCCTAGTGTATGTCGCAAATATTCAAATACATAATCTACCAACCGATAATTTTATATATTCATTAAAAGATAATTTGTCATCAGTCTGAAATAAGAAAATTATAAATCGGAAGGGTAAAATAGTATTGTGTTATTAATTCAAAAATAAAAAGTTTCATTTCACTGACGAAGGAGGATCTATCCCCCCAAAACCCCCCCGCCCCTGGCTACGCCACTGATGTATACTTTATAGAATAAGATCGTAAATTTTTTTATTGTTTAACACAAGGAGAAGTCTGTTAAATTGTCAATTGTTTATTGGGAAATTTATTATTATTTAATACTATTAAAAAATTAAATTTTTCCAGTATGAAAATTTTTTTCGATTCTGCTACTTTTCTGAATGCACCATTAAAATTTGGTTCTTTTTCATTCAATATTTACGGAAATATTGCAATTAATATATAAAACTAGCGGTACCCCGGTGTGCTTCTCTACGCCATATATTGAAAAATTAATGAAAAATCCTGCACGCCGTACTTCCTTTGGTTGGGAGTGCTCCTCAACATTTTGCGATCTTCTTTGCGATAACATCATGTTCGCAAGACGCGTATGTCGGCCTATATTTGAACGACAGGATCGTGGCATTTTATTCAATAGCGAACGAAAAACTCAATGCATAGGAACGAATTCGATAAATCGTATGGTAAACGCACTTTTTTTAAAATAATCAAATGAAATTCACAATCGACAGTAAAAGAGCACTTGAAAAAACTTCATTCGAAGCCAAAGAACACAACACAGCCACAATTTCCCACAATGGTTTTGTTCACTATAAATCAATGAGGAGAAATACCTGCATGGAAAATTTCCAGTGTACTCAAACTTTTCGTACGAAACGCTGTAACAAATTTGTGCAAAAATATTGAAATTGACAAAAAAAATAAAATGAAATATGAATTAAGAACTATATTAAACACACGTGTTGATTCTCCAAAGTCCAAGATAGAAAGACCGAATATCAATGTACACCACCTTTTCGATAATACGATGAAATGACAGATATGTTGTGTTGTGGTGACTTTCATTCCATTGGCTCTACAAAATCCCTATTGAAAAACTTGCAGCCATGTTTATACTTGACTTAATTTATCCGAAGAAAAAATAAACACAGCACATTATAGCAACAATTTTTCACTATGTTTTCGATTTTTCATGTATGTGCTGTTGTACCATATACGTGGTTCATGTGACAGACATAAACTGTCATATATCATGAACCGCTGAACCGACTTCGGGCCCACTTCACATAACCCATCTGCATGATAGTCCGAATATACCGTTTAAATTTGGTAGAATTCGTGCACTTATTTTTTTATTTAAGATGGGAGGTGCCACGCCCCCCTTTCCCAATACCGCACATTTTTCTCCATGAGTATGGAATTATTTCATATGTCTCTATACCAATTTCCAGTAATCTACTACAAATATTTCAAGAGATGTACCAGATGAAAATTTTTGTTAGTATGGGTGGTGCCACGCCCCCTTTTCCGAATTCGGGAAAACTTAACACAAACCATCTGCATAATAGCCCGACTATGCCGTATAAATTTGGTTGAAATCTTGTACTTATTTTTTATATATAAGATGGGAGGTGCCACGCCCTCTTTTCCAATACCGCCCGAATAACCCCGAATAAACTATATAAATTTCGTTGAATTCGGTGAAGCCGTTCTCAAGTTATAAGCTAACTCACTAATTTTTATATATAAAATAGAGGCGCCACGCCCCCTTTTCCGAATTCAAGCAAACTTCACGTAAACCATCTGCATGATAGCCCGAATATGCCGCATAAATTTGGTTGAATTCGGTGAAGCCGTTCTCAAGTTATATGATCACACCAAAAACGTTCACTTATTTTTATATTTTAGTTAGTATGGGTGGTGCCACGCCCCTTTTTCCGAATTCGAGCAAACTTCGCATAACCATCTGCATGATAGGTCGAATATGCCACATAAATTTGGTTGAATTCGGTGAAGCCGTTCTCAAGTTATGAGGTCACACCAAAAACGTGCACTTATTTTTATATATAAGATTTATGAAAACAAGGTCAAAAATTCATTTATGAATAAATTTTTGAAAAATTGAAATTTTCAAAAAATATTTTAAGACATTCATTTTCACATATAGATCTTTGAATATCTGCCAAAACATATTTGAAATTCTATTATTTAATTTTTAGTGGCCCGTTTCAGAAAATTTGACTCAGAGCGTATGTGTCCTCTAACTAGATATGGGCACGGGACTAAGTTTATAATCCCGATCCCGCCCATCTCGAAATTCGATTTTTAAGTCCCGAACCCGCCCATCCCGACGTTTTTCAGAATTGTACCGCGAGTCTCGTGGGTCCCGATATCTATCTCTAAAGCAGGCTACAAACGGACAACGAATTGAAACGATCGGTTGAGATGAGTGTGGCGAGGTTTGCAAACCGATCGAAGGTTGACAAAAATGTTCATGTCTTTCAAATTATTTAAAAAAAATTAAAATAATAATGAAAGATCTGGCATATATCAAACATCGTTTTTAAGGAAGGTTTTCTGAATTTGCGGGGGTAGCGGTTTTATCGGGAGTGTCCGGAAAGGATTTTGGTCCCGTCCCGCCCGCCATATTTTTACAGATCTTCCCGATACCGCCCATCCCGGCCAATTTTAAATCAGTACCGTGGGTCCCGCGGGTCCCGATATCCCGCGCCCATTTCTAACTCTAACCATACACTTGTACTACTGTTGTATGCATATGGCTGTATTAATGTTTCAAACATGCAAAAGCCCTAGTATGCAGGCATACAAAAATACACATAATTAGTGCTTGCACATGTAGTAATTCTGCATTAATGGAATAGTGTTAAAGCATTCTAACACGATATACATATATTTCCATATGTAAATTCTACTTTTCTGATACATTTTTATTTATGGCACATACGAGTATAAACAAAAATCCATATCATGTAAAAGCTCTGTTAGTGCCGAAAATATTATCGCACAACACGTCCGTTCGCTAAAACTTTTGCACTACACTGAAAATATTACAAACTAGGGATGCAACAAAACATCGATGCATCGGAAACATCGATGTTTGCTATTCGATGCATCGAATAAAACCGATGTTTTGGACTTTCCGATATACATCGATATATCGATGTATTTTTTTTCGATGCATCGAATTTTGCGTGCAATGTACTCTACATTATTTGTATGCTTCCAAGCTCTTCGCTCTAGTACTCAAGTAGCACACTGGTGTATAACTTGGTGTAAATTTGTGAGTTTTGGTAGAATTAATCACTAACTAACCACTATGCTACTTGAGTAACTGTTCTAAATGTGAATTTTTCAGAATGTATGTACATTCTATTAATATTATCCAAAATGTATGAGTTATTTGTACTAATAAATTGCTACTTTATTAGTAGAGACGTTTAGTGCCAAAATACCATATACAATATGATATTAATTGATATGATATTGACACTCTAAAATTCTTTTGAAATTTGGACAGATTTTAAAGAGCAATTTCCAAAATTTTTACACATAGCTTATCAACATAGTGAAATAATATAAATTGTGCTAGCAAGTTTGAGTTTGTCATTTTGGCTTTTGCCAATTCTGGTCCATCAGTTACATATGTATGTGTGCTTTTGAACAAGCGACTATTTAAATAAAAAAACTTCATCATTTCTTACTCAAAAGGGTTAACATGAAAGTCAAATAAAAGAAAAAGTTATGATAAGAAATTGCCAAATAAGTGCACCGAAATAGAATGCCAGTGAACCGCTTTATATTACTTCAATATGCTTATAAACATTTAACAACTGTCGCCACTTCAGCACCTTCCGAAAACTTTTTTCAAAGACTTCTTAAAAGAACAGAAAAAACTTGAATTTTTAACTATTTAAATCACTAAATACATTTCTTGTTGTTTTATTTTCCTGCTGTATATTTTTAATTAAAAGAAACATTCGATGCATCGAAAATAGCGATGTTTTTATACGATAATCGATATGGATCGATGCTATATTTCGATGCATCAAATCGAAAAAAACATCGATGTAGGTATTTTTTTGATTTGCATCCCTATTACAAACATTTTGCGATGCTGTATAGTAGACAAATTTATAGAGAAATGTACTTAAAGCAACAACAAAGTACGTTCGCTTAAAGTTCGCCAGAATTTGACTTTATTTCTGGAAATTCATGACCGCTCATGAATCGTTCACACTTTTTCACTCATACAGCATGCACACTTCACAAATGCATGCAACCGATTTCTACTGGGTTCCTTTGCAAATATCGCGCACTACATACATATGCACATACATATATGCCTGTTGTTTTGATTTACCGATGCCGCGTCTTCAGAAGTAATATAAAATTTCTCTAATTGTGTTCGATAACGAAAAATACTGATGCATAGCCGCTAACCGAGTTGTATGCCACGATTATCACCAGCGCACTAAAACACTTTTATAAATTATTTCGCCATTCTACATTACGCGCTTAAGCCCTAGACTGTATTTCGATAAGTTGTGAGCAACAGGTAATAAATACACATGTACATATACATATATATATGTATATGCATGTCATACATAAATATTTAACAGATACGCGCAAATTGCATATTGTATCTAATGGATATGACACATATTTAGCACCGCCACTAATACGCCTTACGATTTTGTAAATAATTTGATGAGTGTGTATAGTTTCTATGTTCACAAACGTATGCACATACGTATAAATATGTACATATGTAAATAGATATCTACATGTGTACAGCAAACATGCGCTAAGTACTCCCCGGTATTTTTTCGTACATATGTACCTATGTATTTTCGTACATACATGCATACAATATCCACAATATTTACTCCATAATGTAAAATTAGTTTTGTTACTGCGACGATTTTCAATTACTGTTGCCGGTGCGAAATATATTGCTATTGACGTTAGTGGCAGCGTTGCCGTTTTCACTCTGATCGGAGTGTTTCACTCACGGTTGCCAACCTTTGCTTTCTTGAAACCGGGACACGCAATGTTAGGAAAGAGGGTAGGTAATATAACATATTAAACGACATAAATTTTGAAAATTTTTTATTTAGAACCACAAAACAATATAAAATTTCATAGAAACATAAACATGTTCTCAGAACCACAAAACAATATAAAATTTCATGGATGCATAAAAATTTTCATAAAACGATACTTCAATGTTACTTTTATATAACTTAAAAAGTAAATTAAAATTTAAATAAAAATTACACCAAATTATAAATTTCTATATATCGGCACCTGGTAGAAGATCGACCTGTCTCGGCAGCCAGTTCGAAAACGCCTTATCTCAGAAACCGCCCTACTTCATAATTTAAATGAAGAACGCCCTATTTCAGAATTTTATTGAAAAGTGCCCTACCTCAGAATTTGGTTGAAAGAACGCCCTATCTCAGAATTGAAAATGTGAAAATGTGCCGAGATAGGGCGTTTTTGAACCGAATTCTGAGATACGGCGTTCTTCAATCAAATTTTGAGAAAGGGCGTTCTCCAACTAAATTCTGAGATAGGGCGTTCTTGAAAAGATAGGTCGATCTTCCACTCAGGCATGGGCGTAGCCAGGTAGGGGCAGGGGGGGGGTCGACCACCCCCCCCCCCCCCACCTTCAAATTTTCCTTATATATTAAAAAAAATAGACCCCTGAAATCCCAGTTAAATGGGGTGGACCCCCCCCCTCAATTTCATTCTGGCTACGCCGATGCACTCAGGTATCGATATGTATGTAAATATGTACAGTGCAACACTAAATTATTGGCGCAGAGAACTTTTCACACGACTTTTAATAAAAATATAGATAATCTTACAACAAAAAACATAAAAAAATATGTCTAGACTATGTGCAAAACTCAGGAAATTACTTACACGTTGTCATTGTAGTTTGAAGTTGGTAAAAATTGCGTCTTCCTCAAGCAGCCACGGCTTAAATTCTTTGTTTAAAATTCATTCGTCCATAAAATAGCAATCGCGTTTTTGACTCTTTCCTGCAATTCACTCATTTTAGCCGGGACAAAATTACAGATATTTTTTACATCTCCACTCAAGAATTTACACATTCAAAGGGAAACAATTAACTTTTTAAAATCATCAGCGGATTCAACGGCGTTGGCACAAATTGTTAGCAAACAGCTGTATGCATAGCACTACCGCATTGCATTTTTAGTTATTAATGAAACAGTCTGCCGGAAATCGCAATAGAAACCAAAATACGGCATATAGTACATATCTTAAAAGTTCTAAATATTTTTACAAGGAGATGTTTTAATTTTTTTTCTTGCGAAAAACCTGGACATTTTGCGTCCCGGCATGTGTCGTACCGGGATCGGGACATAGCTCTTAAATTCGGGACAGTCCCGCCGAAAGCGGGACGGTTGGCAACAGTGGATTCACTCCTTTTTTAAGCCGAACATTACGTCACTGCCTCTTTTGCAAAAGCACTACCATTTTAACCCTAGAATACTAACGTTCGCCTGTGAGGCAGAACGAATTCGGTTTCCGCGCGATATTTCAGGAACGCTTTTAATAATCAAAGTAAACGTTCGCGCCAACTCAGCTTAGCGCTGTACGAGGCTGTTAGCAAACGCACATTGTACAGTGGCCTTGCGCGGTTAAGTTCCACGCCCTCTTGACGCCTGACAGGCGAACTTTAGTAGTAAAGGTAATTTTGTTTGCTGTATTTTTTTCAGAAATATCGTTGAATGGAACCGATAGTGAATTTCAGTGAATGCGCCCTATGAATAAAAACTAAGCAGTTGCTTTTTCTTAAGATTTCAAACCTTTTACTTGATTTATTCAAATAACTTTACGTAAAGGATCTTAGTTTTTATTCATAAGGCCCAATGTGATACAAAAAAGTCGATTTCATTTTTAAGTACAGGTCATAATAGAAAAGATAAACAACTAATTCCTTTTAAGTGTGAAAGTAAATACGAATACCTTTAAGATAATTTATGGATTGTTTGAGTGCGTTCGCTTTTAAATGTTTTTTTTTTTTTTAATTTTTTAAAATGACCCCTTTCAAAAAGATTATAAAATATGTGTTATTTTCAATACGAATTATTTTTATTAATATTAAAAAAATTATTAAATTATTTTATTTTTTTACTTTAAAAACATATGAAATATGTTTAAGCCCATTTTTTAAACAAATTA